GTTAATATAAATATGTCACCTTCGCGAAATGAATACGGACATCATCAACGACACACAAACGTCATACTGGCGTGTACAGAGCATAGGCGGGTGGAAAAAAAATTGTAAAAAGGAGTCATCAAAGTAAATTTGCGTTCTCATTTGATAAAGTCAGTGATAAGCTTAGGAATTGTGCTGTGTATCGTGTGGGTTATATTGTGAGGAATTTCTAAATAAAGTGGTTGTAATTGTGAATTAAAATAGAAGTGTAACCTGTGAATAGTAAATATATAGTGTTGTAATTATAAATCAATAAAGCTAATTACTGTGCGTTGTAGTCTAATTAAATTCCCTCGTACACCACAATGATTGAAATAGTAAATAATCATGAAGATTCGAGACTAAATAAATATATTCTTTCCGTCTTGTCCGGCGACTCTGCTTGCGTGGCTTATTTATGTAAAAGTATATAATTCCTTACTTTGTAAAAGTCATAATTAAGACTGTGAATGACCCTTAAAGTAATGTTTTCTTGGTAATTAGGCTATCAAATGCAAGTGTAAATCAAAAAAATGTTAATTAGAATCTGGCTAAATTACTAGCAAAGTATTAAGTAAGCAAATAAGTCCAAACACATGTAGATAGAGCAAAAATATCTCGCTTAACCTGCCGAAAGAAACCAGGCAAGAAATACCATAATCATTTTTTGGACAATATATCTTTGTAATATTAGTATAGATTACTATATTACTAATTATAGTATAATATTAATTATAGAGGTAAAGTTTGTGAGATTGTGAGTTTGTGACGTTGTAGGGGGTAATCTCTGGATCTACTGAACTGATTTAAATGAAATTTGGTAAGAAGGTAGTTTAAGACCCTAGCAAGGACATAGAACACTTTTTATTCCGGAAATCCTCCCTTAAGACGGTTAAAATGGGGATGAAAGTTTGTATGGGGAATCAAGCTAGGGACGAACCCAAGCGAAGCCTGTGTGAGTTGCTAGTTAAATATAAAAATAGCCAAATCGCTGCTTTACTTTTTAATACAAATACTGATTTGTGCTCGTATTTAGGAAACTTATTACCGCTTTCAGCGTGAAATTTCTCCTAATGGCCATTAATCAGCTGTTTTTGCCTCAACTGTCTGCAGATACCTCAAATTACAGCGACACGGTTTTCTTACAACGGGATGGATGCTTCGCAATTTGTTTTTATATGATCACTTTTTTCGTTTATGTTTTTATATACTTTCGTAACTGTATACTTTTAAATTAAATTTAAAAAGGTGTTTTTCTTTAGGAAATGGACATAACACTTTATTTCGAAATTTACTGTTTTGCATGATCTTTTCGGATTATTTCGCGGATTTATTATATTTTTTGGTTGCCAACGTTTCGAATGCTTTACAGCATCATGGTCACGGGAGAGACTAAGGTTTTAGACATCTCAAAGATTTTTATACAGTCATTATTTTATTTACCGTTTTGGTTTCCAAAGTTACATTTTATATTAACAATAACAATATAATCTTTTGTATTGAAGATCTGAAGACCAGACAATTCTTGAATTGCTCATCCACGTCAATTTATCATTAATTATCGTATATCAATTAAAACTAGTATTCGCCCAGTGGTCGAAATTCAACCATAATCAATAATGAAAAAGAGTAAATCATATATGAAAAGAATTTACCTATGTATATAAAAAAAACCACTTTTAATTTTTTTTATTGATAAAAAAGCCAGCTAAAGCTCGTCAATAGTCAGTCAACCAGTAAAAGTCAATCTATACATATAATAAAAATTGTAAATAAGTCGAATCTGTACATTACATATTTTTTGGAAAATCTAATTGAAATAGAAATTATTATCGATACAGGGGCCGAATCTATAGTTTTTAGAATTTTTGTCTACTTGTCTGTGTGTCTGTTACCGCATCACGAGGAAACCACTGACAGGTTTTGATGAAATTTGGTACGATGATAGCTGGTTATCCGGGTCAACATATAGGATACTTTTTACTGCGGGAAAATATCTCATTTCTGAGAAAAAAATAAAAAAAACTGCATTGTAGGACTATACTAATATGTAAAACCTAAGAATTTGGTTTTTGGTCATCTGAACGCTGGCGGAGCCGTGGGCAATGCTAGTACCAAATAAAACAAAACAAACAAAGGAGAAAAAGGTACTAAACTATTTTTTTTCTTTGCCTATTTTTACAAATTAACTCTTTTAAGAAAGTCATTATTTAATCATTTGCATATGAGATAAATATTTGTCAATAAATACATTGATATTTGTTAGAACATTATTACACTAAGAAAAACACATGGCGTAATATTTTAGAATCAGAAAATAAGTCTTAAAATACTCTTCTTAGTCTCTCTTTCTCTCTTGAAATAGTCTACTTAGTAGGTAGGTCTACTTAGTATAAAAGACGGAAAAATTAATCATGAAATCGTTCAATACCATTTTACATCAGTTTCAATGAAAGAATTCCATCATTAGCTCCATTCATTGTTATGGCCATTATTATAGATTATAAACAATATAGTCGTAGATTGAATAGCTTTTAATTAACATAAATGTTACAAGTGTTGTACAAGTACTTTTCTACTTTATATTTGTAATATGTTATTTATTGTGTGTAATTAATTCTGGTAATTCTGTAAGTAGAATATTTGTCAATATTGTAAAAATAGATACTGCTTCTACCATACTATGGTGAATATAATATTTTAAATTATATAAAAAATATATTTTTATGAATTAATTTATAAGTACAATATGAATATTTTATTGTCTCACTTGTCTAGTGGCTAACATGTATTAAGCACAGATCCGAAAGTCCTAGGTTCGTTCGTTCTACGTCGCGTTTTTCCATATTCTCAATAGCGGCCCGGAGTTAGAAAGTTAGTGATTCAACCCTTACTTTGAAGAGCTGTTAGCCGTCGGTACCGCCTCTGGCCGGTCTCTTACCGGTCATGTCCAATCATCGCCCTATCAGACTTTGTGAGTGAAAGGAATGGATAGTGCACTTACATTCCCACGACAAGGCTGTTCTAAACTCAAGAACTAAATACTTGATTCAAATAAATTTTAACCCGCACGCAATTTAAATATAGGAGTCAGTTTGACAGAATCGAATGTTATCGATGCCCAAATCACATGGATTTACATTATCAGATCTTGTAAATTAGGCATTTGATTTCTGAATTGGAATGATGCATGATTAAACAAATTCTAGGAACTACTCCTACTATACATATACTAAACATAAAATATCAATGTACAATGTTAGCTGTGATAAAAATCTATTAAATTATGATTGTTTAAATACATTTATGTACATAAATGAGGTGCGCCAAATTCTTTATCCTCAAAAATACATCAAAACATTTCACCTCTAACCGACATTAAAAAAGAAGGAAATAATGAATTTAGTATATTGCTTATAATCTACTAAATATATTTTCATCTTGGATTTTTACGATGTCTTTTAATATAATTTCAAGAAAAAAATACCTAAATTTTATTTCTTATATACATATGTCGTCGTGTCGTTTGCGTGTCTTTCACTTAAAAAGTAATTAAAAATGTCGAATCAAGCAACGGAATCACACATTGGAGTCTATTAAATGGTAGAAAAAATACTTCAATATCTAACCCGCAGTTCCCGACTTTGTATTGTGGAGTTGTAATGTGCTAGCTAATTCTATGTCAAGAATGCTAAGTGGACCGACCTACTATGCCGAGTGTTTCAAGCCCCATTTTTACTTGTGTATCCACTTGCATTGGGGTCGCGAGCTATTTTTATTTAGCATTTATAAGATATCTGCAGTGTTACTTTTCCTCTTGCTACCGGCGAGTAAACGCAGTATTTGTTTTACTATGAAGGTTGTGTGCTTTATTATACTTTGACCTTATCACACAACTGTGATATGTTTTTTTATGTAAATATTCACTTGCTCTTGAATTATGTTTATTTTTATTTAGAGCAAAAATTTTATATTTTTGTACTGCTTATGATAATGATAGCTTGCTTATAATATATTATCTTAAATCGTTCATGGAACATAAATTAGGAATTGTAATATTTATAGATCGTTTTCGATATTATATAGAGATTCAGTGTAACTATTGTAGTTAATTTATAGTTAAGATATTTAAAAAAACATATTTTTTTTAATTAGTAAATATATTTCGAATAATAATAAAAATATATATTTCGAGTTTCAGGCATTAAAAAGTAAGAGATAGATTACCGAGGTGGTAGTTCGAGTATAGTCGATGCCAGTTAACGCAAGACATTTTAATCTTATTTATCTCTAAACCTCATCGTCCCATATATAACAAAGGATCTGCCTTTGTTATATGGAACCGTCTCGCAAGTACGCACTCAATAAAAAATTCAATCGCGCAAACAGCCAATAGATGGGAGTCAATTATGTAAGCCTTGGTCTTTTTGAAGTTTAAAAAAAGTGTCAAGATAAAATCGATCATTGCAACATACGTAATGTTTAATTAAGCTTTCAACAGCTATTCATTTAGATATAATACATATATCACTACAATTCAATATAATTTAAATTATATACTAGCATTGCCCGCGGCTCCGCCCGCGTTCAAATGAGAAAAACCTAATTCTTAGGTTTTACATATATTAGTAAACTCTTACTTTGCAGTTTTTGTTTTTTTTATCAGAAATAAGATATTTTTCCGGGTTAAAAAGTATCCTATATGTTGACCCGGATAACCAGCTATCACTATACCAAATTTCATCAAAATCCCTCCAGTGGTTTTTCCGTGATGCGATAACAGAAAGACAGACAAACAGACAGAAAATTCTAAAAACTACAGATTCGGCCTCTGTATCGATAATAAAGTCTATTTCAATAAAGTTTTCCAAAAAATTTCAATGTACAGATTCGGCTTAGTTACGATTTTATTATATGTATAGATAATTTTTATGAAAATATCGAGATACACATTATTTACACAATATGTCTATTTGTTTCAGGTTATTTCTGGCACATCACGGACTTTCACTACGACCCATTGTACACAGCGCAAGGCGATACTAGAAGACGTAGGTATAAATTTGTGATCGATAAAATATATTTGTGACTTTTTCTCATATATATAAATCTAACAAGAAGCGAAATTTATATACTTTTACTTTCACCACGGGAATTGTTGTTACAATTATTATATTACTGAACATTACTTTTTTATTGAATTCGAAATTGATCAAACATGAATAAACCAGGCTGCAAAATTTTTGCAGAATTAATATTAACCAAATATGAATAAAAAGCAATATTTTCTTTTAATTTAAATATTATTACTATACAGTGGTCACTTGTAGTTGTATTGAAATATTATAAAATAAATTAAATTTATGTATTCGGTTCATTTTTTTGCTAAAATAAAACATTATGGATTGAAGTAAATAAAAAAATGACCTTTTAAGTGAAAAATGGCATGGATTTCAATAAAGCCGTACAAATAAATTATTCCATATTAAAGCTGGATTTTTTCGTTAAATTTAAATTACTCCTTGAGATACCTTAAAATAATATAATTTTATAGTTCCGAATAATTTTCCATTTATACATAATTTTTTTATATATGTTACATTCAAATTATAAACCTCCTACTTTTGAAGTTGGTTGACTAAAATTATAGGTTTTTACTACAGATTGTCGAAGAGCAGATGAGCGTGGGAGTTCAGGCCATCATCGAGCATTAGGCCGTCTTGGAGATTACTCATGCGACAGTTCGCTAGAACTCATACAATCCGCGCTGAGATACATGCGCACGCGTCATTCAGAAAACGTAGAGTTTGTTCTATGGACTGGGTTAGTTAAATTTAATTTCGATTTTAATATAATATTATAACTTCGATTAAGACACGCAAAGATCAAAGTAGCAGAGGAAACTTTTCTATATTGCTTCGAAATACATTATAATACACCTCGTTATGCTAAATACTATAATCGAGCCAAATCTGTACATTAAATATTTTTTTGGAAAATCTTATTGAGATACTCATTATTATCGATACAGAGGCTGAATCTATAATTTTTATAAATTTTGTCTGTCTGTCTGGGAAGGAACGCATCACGAGAAAAATATAGTACAGATTTTGATGAAATTTGGTATCATGATAGCTGGTTATCCGAATCAACATATAAGATACTTTTTACTGCGGGAAAATATCTCATCTCTGAGAAATCTACATTAAACCTAATATATAAAAAGCATATTTTTGCAGGGACATCGTAGCAACTCAATACCCCAACAATGAAGATAACAGGTACCAGGCGATCAGAAACATAACGGAGCTTCTCCGTATGACGTTCAGTTCGCACTTTGTATTCCCCGTACTCGGGCATACAGATCCGGCGCCTTCCGAGACACTGACTAATTTGTGGAGCCATTGGTTACCTATGGAAGCTTTACAGACTCTGAAAAACGGTACGTTCAGTTTAAAGAGATTAGCAGTTTAGTTTAGTATATAATTTTTTTTTAATAATGTCACAGTTTTATTTTGAATTTTGAGAGCAATGTTTCATTGTCTCGGCTGTAAATCTGAAAAAAAAATTAGTATAATTTTGAATGTCAAATACTTGCATAAATCTAAAAAAAGTATTTATTATTGTAGTAGGTTGTGCCTTATGTGTGGGAGGAGAGGCCTTTCATGAAATATTTTAATAAAAATATTACAAGGAGGTGCAAAGGTTTAAATGTGACGTTTTTAGTATATTAATTTCAGATTAATTTTTACACATGTACTAAAATTGTACCTAAGCCGAATCTGTACATTAAATATTTTTTTGGAAAATCTTATTGAAATACATAGTCATCATTATCGATACAGAGGTCGAATCTATACTTTTTAGAATTTTTGTCTATCTGTGATCGAATCATGGAAAATCCACTATAGAGATTTTGATGAAATTTGGTATGATGGTAGCTAGTTATCCGGGTCAACATATAGGATACTTTTTACTACGGAAAAATAGCACATCTCTGAGAAATCTATACTAAACGTTAAAACGTAAGTAGGGACGAACCCGAGCGGAGCGAGGGTGAGTCGCTAGTCTCTTTATAAGTTGAAAGATTTCCAACCTTATAGGTAGTGGTAATAACAAGCAACAAGCGACAGCACGTATCTAACAAAGTAAATTAAAATTAAAACCTATAGTAGTGAATCTGACAATTTTTTTATTTACACTGTGAAATAAATTTTGAAGTTATTTAATTTTATTTACTCGAAATATAGTGAAAGAATTTTATACCGAAATGATAAATTAAAATCACAAGTTCAAACTTGTTCTCTCATATTTTATTATATTCATCATTGAGGAAAGAAGTGCGGCAAAACTCATTATTCTTCTCCCATTATATCCTATTTATACCATTCTATTTTGTTTGTTTTGACTACCATAAGACATTATGACAGTGTGTAGGTTTTGCTAATTAGTGATTAAGTAAGTTATTTTCTTGATTGCAGTAAATGTAACCTAACAATTAAAAATCAATATATTTAAAACTTAACATTCTGTCTATTACAATAATATGTTATTATAATGTACTAGCATTTTTCGCGGCTTCGCCCGCGTTCAGATGACCAAAAACCAAATTCTTAGGTTTTACAGATTAGTATACACTTATACTACAGTTTTTGCATTTTTTTCTCAGAAACGAGATATTTTTCCGCGGTTAAAAGTATATGTTGAACCGGATAACCAGCTATCACCATTCCAAATTTCATCAAAATCCCTCTAGTGGTTTTTCTGTGACGCGGGTTACCGCATCACAGAAAAACCACTAGATCTGTTAAGACAGACAGACAAAAATTCTAAAAATTATAGATTCGGCCTTTGTATCGATAATAATGTTTATTTCAATAAGATTTTCCAAAAAATATTTAATGTACAGATTCTGCTTAGTTACATATGTATATATTGTACAAATAAATCTTATTTTATAACAAAGTTTACATCGAAGAGATATATAATGAAATTTTTATTTTTAAAATCTAGCTAGTCTCTATAGTCGTTGTTTTAGACACTGCTAGCCTAGGCTAGGTCCAAGCATAAGTCCTAACGATATTTTTCTCAAAGCAATGCCTAGAAAAACCTACGCAAATTGAATGGCACTCTACAGAGCAGTGCATTTTACTTCGACGCCCAGCTATTCTCAGTTTTTGCTAATCGGATAAAGATAAAACAAAGTGAGCTCTACTTGTTTTTCTGCAGCCAAGTTTCGTTAAATTCGATTTTGGTATCAGCAGTTCGAGACAGTTTCTTGTTTTGTTTGTTCTTGTTTCGCTTTACGGTTTTTCACAACTTGTCCTTATAAAGTGCAGTATATTGCAGTATCTAACGATGAACATTAACTGGATCTTTATTCATTTGAAAACACTATTTTCCTAGAATAATTGTATCAAATAAAATGATGCAATTCTATTATCTGCAAGCATTTTTAAAATATTTAGAAGTAGAAAAAAGCTGATTTATGTAGGTATTTTAAATTTTATGGTATTATTTCTGATTTTGTCAAAGAAATTTATATGGGATCTTCTAGGGAGTAGCAAAATCGGTCAACCCATCTCTGAGAAATCGGTGAACATACATACATAATATAAAATACTAACATAGTTAAATAACCTCCGTTTAAAATCCATTAAAATATACATGTAATAAAATAGTAACAAAGCCAAATCTGTATATGAAATATTAAAAAAAAAACAATGACTTACGTGTTGTGTATAGACCTCAAAACAATAGTTGTTGAAATTTTATTACTTTTTGTTAGTCAGTTGAACATTTCCCGCAAAAAATACCGAACGGATTTTAACTAAATTTTGTGTAGTGATAACTTATTACTCGGGTCAACATTAAGTATACCTGTTACTAAGGAAAATCTCTCATTCTCACGGGAAAACACAATAACTGGTTCGACCGAGTTGTACAATAACTATTATCTATTCAAAACGTAAGCAAAGCGAAGCAAGCGAAGCAACAGTAAGTCGCTTTTGGCTAATAAATTTTCAATATTTATCTGATGATGGTATAATTTTGTATCCAGGTGGTTATTACACGATAGAGCAATCGCACAGTAAATTAAGGATCGTGGCGCTCAACACGAACTTGTTCAGCGTAAGTGAAGCCAAAAACGTGCACGCGAAACGTCAGTGGGATTGGTTAGACACCGTGTTGGAGAAAGCCACAAGCAATAACGAAATGGTAAGCCCTTTTTTTATCCTAATTAACTTCATCCAGGCTTCATTAGGCTCTTGATATTTAAATTAACATTTGAAGAAGCTATGCATTATTTGGTTTAGTAATTTCGTGCAGTAAGTGCACTATTATACTCGTAAATATAGTCTGTGACCCCTAGGCTAAATGGCGTGTGTTAAAAAATATATAACTTGAGATATTCGTAGTATATTCTCTTGATTCTCTTAATTACTTTTAAATTTATTTAAATCAGTATCTTTTAGTAAACAATAATTACAGTGTTTAAAGTTCAATATTCAATTACTCTTCTGTCTCCTTTATTTTTCATACAAATTATAGTTAAATATTTATAAAACGTAATAGCTGATTCAATAGACGTGTTGTCCCAATTTTATTCAAAATACTATATTAAAAAAAATCACTTTCTGGTTTCCCGTAATTTTACGGACGAATTTTCCATTTTTTGTGTCTAAAATCATTATTCGAACTATTACATACAATTTAAAAACAAAAATAGCTAAATCGGTCTCAATAGCCGTTCTCAAGTGATGAGCTTAACATCAAAAAACAACTTAATTTTTATTATATAGATTAAATAATATACGTTAACACCTATACATATATACTCGTATATATGTATGTACATTTATTTAAAATAATTGAATTAATACTTTATGTGATCAACTCATTTTTTACTTAATGAAGCGCATAATAAATTTCAACGTATTAATTATGTGGAAATCCACTGCAATTAAAAGTTAGCCTTTTGTTTCTATTTTAATGATGCGATTTTGTATTGTCTCTGGATCACATATTGTGATTTCATTTGTGTTAAATTAACAACACGAATGTGAAACAAAAGGAGAGTAAGATGACAATATACTATGTTTATCTATGACATAATAACGATCTACCCTCGCTTTAGCTTGGCTTCCATTTTGGTTTCACATTAGTCCGAGTCAAAAATGATAAAAAAAATTTTCATTTATCCCGCGGGAATAAGCTTCTTTTACCGGGACAAAATAGCATTTGTAACAACCTCACAATTTTCGTAACGGTAAAATCGTAGCAAATGTGCTACGACTTTACCGTTACGAAAATTACCGGATACCGACTTATAGACAACATTATTTTTAAACATTTGAACTTTATCTTGTGTAAAAAGCTATACGTAAAATTATTGAATACCCATACAAACTTTCAACCCCATTTTCACCCCCTTAAGGGATGACGATTTCCGGAATAAAAAATATCCTATGTCCTTTCCAAGGTCTCAACCTATATTTTTACTAAACCTTACCAAATCGGTCCAGTAGTTTTGAGTTTATTCATTACAAACATACACAAATACAAATCTTTCCTCTTTATAATAGTAGTGTAGATAAAATTTGATTTATACTTTCCCACGATTCTTAATATGAAGATATCTCGTCGGGAATCATGTCCATCATCCAGAAGTCTGACTAACATGAGATACATAACGTAAATAATGTTTCAAATCGTACATTTAATTCGTCCACATCAATCCACATTAAGTTTCGAGGTAAAAATTATTAGTTACTCAAATTGTCTCACGTAAGAATTATTTTTTATTTAAATTTTGTAGACAAACAAATTGCATACAAAGACTATGAAAATTTGAAATTAATATTCATTGGCATACGAAGCCGCAGGAAGATACTAATCTATACATATAATAAAATTGTAACCAAGCCGAATCTGTACATTAAATATTTTTTGGAAAATCTTATTGAAATAAACATAATTATCGATGGCCGAATCTATAGTTTTTAGATTTTTTGTCTAACAACTAAATTCTAAAAACTATAGATTCGGCCTCTGTATCGATAATAATGACTATTTCAATAAGATTTTCCAAAAAATATTTAATTTACAGATTCGGCTTAGTTACAATTTTATTATATGTATAGATTTTTGTTATAATCAATAATACGATGATGGCTCAACAATAGTTAATATTAAGTCTATACTAATATTATAAAGAGGCAGAGTTAGTTTGTTTGAACGCGCTAATCTCAGGAACTACTAATCTGATTTGAAAAATTTTTTTGCATTAGATAGCTCGTTTATTGAGAAAGATTATAGGTTATATAACAACATGCTACTACCCAAGGGAGCGGAGCAGTAATCATGAATGTCAACAAATCGGGTAGACTTCCATACATTTTTGTACAACTGATGTATGTGTATGTACTCGTATGTATAATCAAACAAATTTAACGCTGGTAAAACCGCGGGGCATAGCTAGTTTAGTATATTCAAAGTGGACCAATTATATTTTGTATCAGGTAGTAACAATAAATTCAATGAATTTTATCATTTGATAGCTTTCATTGTTTCGTTTAATGAAAACAATAGGTTATTATTATATTATAATTAAAAGATTTAAGCACTTCAATTACTAAATATTGCTTTTTTAAATTAATTCTAACCATCAGACATTTAATTAAAATAAGTAGCTTATGCTCAACCTTTGTAAGGGTCCTTGTTTCATAAATTCAATTAATATTTAAAAACACTTTTTTTGGACAGTGATCGTTAAGTATTTTATAGGCATACTAGTAGTCATGGGTTCGAGTCCTGTATGTTGCAAATTTGGCTAAACAATATTTATATTTGCCTCCGTCTGGCTAAGACTAACACTAACATAGGTACCATCACACAAGGTCTGCGTATTACCAAATACCACCAGTGCAGACGATAGTACTTAAAAAGAAGCTTTCATTCCCTGATAAATAGTATACGCAAAGGCATCTGTGCCTGTAGCATGACACAAACAACGTCCGACTGGAGGTATACGTCTCCATTTTAACATTATTATTTTGAGTATCTTGCCACAATTAACACCCATAGTTTTGCCTGTTTTAAATATTTCCAAATTTCGTGAAGTTAAACATGTAATGTACAATAATATCTATACATTAGAACCCTCTAGAAAGGATTGTCGCTAATCAGCTTAGAATTAAATAATTATGTGAAAAACACATGAATTTTCTTTCTATTCCAAAAATACAAATACGCATTGAAACCAAACTACATAAAAAATTACTTTTACAAAAATTGAATATAACATCAAAACATCAACAATTTGGTAGAATTTCACCAGTGATTATGTGAACGAGACTCTAATCTTGTAAATTATGAAAGCAGCGCCGGACTTCCCGCGTGGTTCCGGTGCGCTAGTTATGATACCGTCCACTAACAAGACCTATTTAAACTGCCTTGAGAAACTATATACCGCATTAGATTTGGATTTGATGAAAATAATTTTGGTTCATTTCTGTTACGTTGGTTACACATCGATTTTTGATATATTGTTACTTTTATTTGATAGGTTATATAGAATTTGGATAGTTATTTAGAATGAGATAGATAGCTTTAGGTGAGGTGAGAATTTATTATTATTTTAAACAAGAAAATGATAAGATGAATGATGAAATCTCTTTCATGGTGTATAAGTTAGTCCTGTTTGTGATTATTTCTTTTTTGTGCGTTTGTGATGATTTTTTATAATTATTTTATTAATATATAAAACAATTATAAAAAATATCCTACTAATATTATAAATGCGAAAGTTTATGAGAATGTATGGATATATGCATGTATTGATATCAGCTTATTACTCTTTCACCCAAAAATTACTGAACGGATTTCAATGAAACTTTACAATAATATAGCTCATACATCAGAATAATTCATAGGCTACTTTTTATCCCGGAAAAATGCATGGTTTCTGTGGGATAAATTTCTTTTTTTCTTTTTTTATTTGTTTTGATTAAAAAAAATCGAGACTGTCATAGAACTAGCATTAAGGTATAATATCGTTTTATTGTTACTAAAGTTATTTAGATATGTCAAAAATCAGGACAACAAACTGTCTGCGCTGATAAGTGGATTACAAATTTTAAGCGACAGAGTAAAATATTAAACTTAAGGCTCGTAAAAAATGACAAAAGATAACACGGTCTTAGTCTACATTCATATTATAAAGAGGCGGAGTTTGTTTATTTGTTTGTTTGTTTGAACACGCTAATCTTAGGAACTACTAATCCGATTAAAAAAATCTTTTTGTATACGATAGCCCGTTTATTGAGAAAGACTATAAGATATATATCATCATGCTACTACCTAAGGGATTGGAGCAGTAATCATGAATATCAACAAATCAGGCAGACTTCCATACATTTTTTTAAAATTATATAGGTATTATATTAATATATAATTTTACAAAAATGTAGAATTATATATAAATAATAACATAACGATACAAAACAACGAACCCGAGCGAAGCGAGGGTGAGTCGCTATAATAATACATAAGGCCAGTTTTTTTTAGATTGAACTTGAGCAAAGCCGCGGGTTCTGCTAATTTTAGAATAAAGTGAAAGGAAAATTTAAAAATGGAAAGTGTATTAATTATATAACAACTAAATTTTAGGATAAAAACATTTATTTACATAATGTAATACGATTTATAAAAGAAAATTACCAACGCTTAGTGTTAACTTCAAGGCTTTATTTCCAACAATTTTACAAGAAAAGCATTTAAATATAATTTTAGACGTAAGCCTCGTAAGCCTTGTTGTACGCTACGCTCAAGAATGTTTCCGCATTCACAATTATGACTCATTACAAGGCGCTGCTGTATATCACCGTGACAAACGTAGCATGTTACTTAACAAAATTAATGTAAATAAGAAGAATTTTGTGTTTTGCTCAAGTTGAATTGAGTGTACATAAGTTTTAGTTTAAGAAGTTATATAGCGACCATTCTAGAAGCATTGGATATTTTCATTTTACATACTATAATGTACCTAAGTATGTTGGAGACTATTATAATGCTGTAAATTCAGCGCTGGATTTACATTAGAGGCACTCGGGGATAGTGCCCTGGGCGACAGCATTCGGAGAGCATGAAAAAATTTTTGTTTGCGTTATCGAAAATTCTTTTTTTTATTTTACCAAAAAGTGAAAAATAAAAAAAATTAACTTGTATGTACATTTTTCGAAAAATACATATCATTTATAAATTATTATTTTTTGAATTTTCCAAAAAAATAATAATTAAAAAAATTTAATCTTTCAACGTTTTATTCAAAATTTCGATGATGGGGCTGTATTTTTTACTATGCCCAGAAGCGGCGCTAATGTTAAATCCAACACTGGCTGTAATAGACTTTATTCCTTATCTGAATAAATCTCAAAGTACTTTGTTTTTATTGTGTCGTATAACAAAAGATTAAAACAAATATGAAACATAGATTTAAGAAAAGTATCACAGAAATATTGCTTTTATTATTTACAAAATATATTTAAATAGCTTTTTTACAGTAACTTTTTACGGACTTACACAAAGATGGAGGGTTCAAATTGCGTATGTTTGTTTTCTAATGTACGTATGTTACGCCATGTCTTTACCAATTCTATTTAAATCGATATTACGATTTTTTTACCAATTCAAGAAAAGTTTCGTAGTGCACCAAAATGTTCTTCATGGAAATAAATTTATATCAACATATACTAAGTAAATTGTAATAAATAAAGATTAACAAATAAATATATACCTATACAATATATATAGGTATATATGTATATATATACCTACATATATTGTATATATATAATATGTATATTTTGCTAGGAAATGAAAACGTATCCAAATATGACTACATATTCTACTACATTTACAATGAAGAACATTTATGTATTTGGATTTCTGTACATATTTGTCGATCAATTGACACGTATTCGTAATCGAAAGATGAAAAAGGGCTAAGACCGATTTCTGACAAATTTAACAAGTATCTTATATTAATAATATTTTCTGTTTACAGTCATCGTGTATCTTCCGCCATAGAATAAAAGTGCAAATATTTGCTTAGTAAATAAAAAATATTATTAGATGAGTATATCATAACTATATTTTATACTTATAGTCATACTTTACATAAGTACTAAATTAATTAACAATAATTTTAAAATAAAATTATCTTTTCGGATTTTTTCGCGGATTTATTTTGATTTTTGGTTACCGAAGTTTACAATGCTTTACAGCAATTCTCGGGAAAGAACCAAAAATCAAAATAAATCCGCGAAAAAATCCGAAAAGATATGTAGTTTAATTTAAAAAATAAATAAATTTAAAAAAGTATTATGCTCTGAAGCTATTAACAAGAGAAATGAATTTGTAGAAAGTATTATAAAACAATTACAGTTAAACATACTGCACAAAATATGTGTTATATTCTAAAAGGCCTGTACAAGGTGAGTTCAGTAATATAATTTCCGAAATAATAGGACGAAAAATTCCGTCGCATACGTTCTCCCTTCGAAGGGTTTGTGAAATCAATTTATGCTTGATTTTGTCGCCTTGGGAAGCCTGGGATTTAGGGCAATTTCAACAAAAAACACTTCAAGGACGCTGTTTGTTCGAATAAATCGAAGGCATTATGAGTCGCTTGCTTCCCGACATTTTTCACGCTAATACTGTCGCATGTTACTATTGCATAGCTTTGTTAGTAATTGAGTGAAAGAAAATTGTCTAGATTAAAATGTTACATGTTTGGAAATATAAATAACTTTATACGTAACTTTATACGTTATTTTATATCACAATTATGTATATTTTTCGAATATCTACATACATATTTAAGCCGAAATTTTCTACCTAAATACTTATGTACACAGATAGCATCATATTGTTTTGATTTTCATTTAGTAAATTTAGTTTAATTTATTTCTTAACTTTGAAAGTTTAACTCTAGTAAATAAGGCAGTATTGTTGCTCAACTAATGAGCTTCTATCTATATATATATATATATATATATATATATATATATATATATATATATATATATATACCGTTCTTGTTATATATATATATATTGGTTGGACCAATTTTTATGATATTTGATTTTTTTAGATTTTTCTTAGCCCGGAATAGAATAATAAGTATTAAAACATCGGAAAATTCAGGAAAAAAATATATATATGGCTAATGCTGGCTAATAATTATATCTATTTAAAATGTACCTAGCGACGAACCCGAGCGAAGCGAGGGTGAGCCGCTAGTATCTGTATAAAATAAACTATAATACAAATATTTAAAAAGTGTTGCTAAGCTATAAGTACATAATATGTACTTATATTACAATACCTTTATTTTATTTTAATCTTTAAATTATACTTATCCCAATGTAAAGAGATGTCTAATGACTGTGCTATTATTATTTTAAAATTCGTGAATCTCTTTTATGGTAAATATTACTGTATTAAAAATGTTATCGGTTTTTTTTGGGTTCCGTATCTCAAAAGAAAATAATCGGAACCACATTACAAAATCACTCGTGTCTATCCATATATCACTCTCTATATTCTCAGCTACCGACACAGAAAGTACATTATAAAATATGAATAATGAATATGGGTTAATTTTCTAATTATATTATTATTTTCTGTAAATTTAAACAAAATTCAACATACTCGTACATACATATCTCATGCGATAGGTCTTCTTATGAATAAAAATATCTACTTACTACTTCTTATATATATTTAACAATGTAATAAGAAAATGGCATGAAAATACAATTTCCCGATTACTTTTTTAACAGATATTATAGTTATTAAAGCTTAAATGTAGAGGAAAGCAACTTCAAAATAATCACACTAACACTTTTAATGTCTAAATCATTGATTTTTTCTCAACAGGTGTACATAGTAGGTCACGCGGCTCCTGGTTCTGATTCAGGATATAATTCCTACACAGTCGACGCAAATAACAAATATTTGGGACTCGTGCGTCGCCATGCGAGGATTATCGCAGGACAGTTCTTTGGACATCTACACGTTGATACTTTCAGAGTTATATACGATGATGGTATGTAAAATTGTTTTATTATATAGATTAAATAAGATTAAAATAATGGCAGAACCGTACTTTCTATTCTTTTTTCAAATCTAGTTATATTTATTTTATTATTGTAACTAACCACTAGTGAATCTAATAAATAAATAAATTAATTAAAATTGTCTTTGTCTAGGTACCTTTTAACGGTTAACGTACGGTGAATGGAATAGATAAGGCTATATATATATTATATTATATACAGCCTATAGCCTTCCTCAAGAACGCTATCTAATGCAAAAATAATTTTTCAAATCGGATTACTAATTCCTGAGATTAGAGCATTCAAACAAACAAACTCTGTTTAAAATATTAGTATAGATTATAATATTAGAATAAATTAAAAGATATGAGCCCCCTTATAATTCCATTCTATTATACCAGCAAGATTCATTTGGTACTCAATTCGGTAAATTATTTTGAGAAGCGTGTTCAAACTCAACTGGTTACACCAATTAGAAGAAATTAATACACTTAATAATAGCATACATATGACATGATATCGCTATTAACTATGCATCGATCAGTCTACTTAATTCAAGACACATAGCGTATTTAGTACACATCCAAATACCTGTGGACGATGCGACGGCACGCCCGGATTAGCTCTCACAGTTTGGTATATTGTGCTGTAAGGATTAAAGTTGTTGAATTTTGGCTTTTTTCTTTGTTATCCGCCGAAATATTGATAAAGTTACTTGTTTCATCGTAAAATAGGTGAACATATTGTATAAAAGTTTAGGCTGAAATATATGAAACCTGCCTCTGGATACTTAAAAAAGTTAAAAGCTGCTAGTGTCGTGGAGTGATTTTACAGCTTGTTCTCAGCTCCTGAAGTTCAGTTTTAAATATGTGAACTCATTTAATTTAATCCTAGAACAACACGGGCCACCGACGGACTTACTTGCTCTATGGATTTAATAACTTATCGGGTACGTCTGAGAAGATATTTATTTATATTTTTTGTTATTTTCATCCACATATAAATCTAGCTAAAGATACAAAAATATGCAAATTCTACTTACATTCGTAATAGCTGAAACAAAACTTTATTAAGTAAAATATATAATAGCTATTCAGTTAATATTTTTCGTTTTTCACGCCACTTCGCGACGCTGAAATGTTTAAACGAAGCTAATAATTGCGTGTGTATTTAAACACGAACAAACTTTTTTCGTACCACTTTAATGATGCCGTGAAGCAAAACCTTGCATGTTAAATACAGCCTACAATTTTACAGAAACATTTAAATCGATATCGTTGATGATAAGTGGATAACTTTAGAAATATCGCACCGTAAATAATATTTATACCTGTAATTTTCTGTTTATATGATTGATGACGATCATCAGGTAATGCGGCATAGTATCTGGCAAATAATATGTGATAAATTTATATCTGCGGATTTAGACATATACTAAACTATTTAAAAAATATGTTGACAATGGGCTTTACGCCTATATATGAGTTGCTATCTTTATATCTAGGGATATAACCATTGTTTTTAAATAGTAGAATTTACTAATAATTAGTTTTTTATAATACTTTCTTACATTTACGGGAATATTTGATAAAAAATTTTATTTTTAATTACAATATTTATAAAAATAAAGACTTTAAAATGTTTAGAATTAACATTAACAAATATTGTAAGGTACTTTGGTGCCACTTTTGAAATTATTGAAATTATTTTGTAAAATTGTGGGTAGGCACTGTATGTAACAACAATAATAATGATCTTTGAGACGTTTAAAACCTTAGTCTCTAAGGTAACCGTGATGGCAGTAAAGCATTCGAAACGTCGTGAACTGAAAATCAAAATAAATCCGCAAAAATGCCGAAAAGATAGTTTTATTTAAAATTTATTTTTTAATTAATGTTTTTTTTTGTATTATTAATTTATTGGGCTGTAAGGTTTTGTCGTTACGGTAAAGTTTTTATGTATATATGTTACTATGTATGTTTTATGTACTATGTACTATTTGTATAATGATGTATGTACTGATTAGATTGGGACATGGCAGGTGAGAAGCTACGGTTCGTTTCGATCCGGCTTAGCCTTCTCGTTAGGCTATTTGTTTTTGAACCCAAAAGCCCTGAGCCCCTCTCGTTAACTGCGGTCAACAATAATTTGTTTCACTTCATTATTCCATATGCTATAACTATATCTCTAAAAACGTAGTAGTGAAATGATGTATCTTTCGTCAGTTCTTCTCAGGTCTGAGGCTTCTTCTTTCCGAACTGGTAGTAGACTCATGACGTTCAGTAAAAAATTATTATAATTTAATGCTAAATAAAATATTTTAATTTCATTTGATTTGTACAAGTATCGTCCAACATAATAATTGTACACCCAATATTTTAAAACACTAAAAGTTACATATAACATCAAATCATTCGTAGTTTTTTTTTCTTTGACCTTATAACTAAAGAGATCTTGTTACAACTGCCCAGGAAGGCGGTAAGTATCGTCCAACATAATAATTGTACCCCCAATATTTTAAAACACTAAAAGTTACATATAACATCAAATCATTCGTAGTTTTTTTTTTCTTTGACCTTATAACTAAAGAGATCTTGTTACAACTGCCCAGGAAGGCGGTAGTACTAATAACTACCCTATTCAATGCAAACTTTAGAGTCCAGTACTATCCTCAGCTATTGAAGGTATCACAAATTTTAATGGTACACAAAGCGGGAAAACCACTTAATGATATTACATCTTACAGACCAATTAGTCTTCTCCCAGTCGTTTCAAAAGTCTTTGAGAAAGTCCTCTTACGTAGGATTCATACCGCACCACCAATTTGGGTTTCGCCAGCAGCACTCTACAGTGGAACAAGTGCACAGAGTCTGCAACAAGATAAGACAAACGCTTGAAAACAAGGAATATTGCTCTTCGGTATTCTTGGATATTCAGCAAGCGTTTGACAAGGTCTGGCACACAGGCTTACTCTGTAAAATAAAAACTTATCTCCCACACTCATATTACTGCTTGCTAAAATCCTACATATCAGACAGAATCTTCCAAGTGAAGGAAGCTGAAGCAACTTCAGAGTTTTATGACATACTGGCTGGAGTCCCCCAGGGATCTGTGATGGGACCTGTGCTTTATACAATATACACTGCAGACCTCCCGCAAGTGGATGGAGCTACCACAGCTACATTTGATGATGACACAGCCATACTGGCCAGTAGTGCTGATCCATCACATGCTACAACAGTCCTCCAAAATGGACTAGATGAAATTACACAATGGCTCCAAAAGTGGAGAATAAAAGCTAGCACAACAAAATCGGTGCAAGTAACTTTCTCTTTGAGAAAGGGAAACTTCCCCCTGGTAAAGTTAGAAAACACAGTATTACCCCACTCTGACTGTGTTCGGTATTTGGGGCTTCATTTAGATCGAAGACTAACATGGAAGCGGCATATCAAAGCTAAAAGAGAGGAACTAAACATACGATTCCGTAACCTCCACTGGCTGCTTGGACGTAACAGCAAACTCTCTGTAGATAACAAATTGCTTATCTACAAGACAGTATTGAAGCCTATTTGGATGTATGGCATACAGCTATGGGGCAGTGCCAGTAACTCGAATATAACCATCCTGCAAAGAATGCAGAATATGATCCTCCGCACTATTGGCAACTCGCCATGGTTTGTGACCAACAATGAAATCCACGATCACATCAACATGTCTACTGTGAAAGACGAAATCAAAAACACTTCGCAAATCTATCACCAACGACTGCAAAATCACCCCAATCCTCTAGCTTCACAACTTACACGTCGAGGCTATAACAAAAGGCTCAAAAGGAAGGATATAATCAGTGATGACTGAGTCCATTGGCAATAAATGAGTAGATGTTCTCAATGGAGATCACACTCGACAGACAAGTACCCTCACACAATCTGCTTATAGTTAAACTGATTGCAGATAATAAATCACAAAAAAAAAGTTTTTTTTTCAATAAGCAAAATCCTTCCACAAATTATTTTGTTTATTCAAACGCGCCATATTTACACGTTATATTGTCTTACACTTCTATACGATTAATAATTCTTTATTTTTAACCGACTTCAAAAAAGGAGGTTTCTCAATTAGAATGATTTTTTTTGTTACTATCAAGTATTGTTGTTGTAGTCACAATTCCAAAAACTGTAGCAATTATTCAATGTATTTAATGAGTTTATTTATTTTTGTGCTGTGTTATTATATCATTTGAATGTATTTGTCGATAAAATGATAATTAATAGGTTAAAGAGCATTATTTATAAGTTAGGTTAAATATAGCTTATGTAAGTTATAATTTTTAACGATGTGTTGGAATATAATAACGATTTTTGGTATGTCTATAACCAAATCCAGAACTATAATAGCAAACGGCAAGTAATGCTAAAAGTTTTCTCGAGGCCGATTTTGATAAAGACAAAAACTTCATCCATCGATCATCAGTCAAGAGTGTCGCTATAAATCAAATTCTGAAAAGTTAAGATATTATAAACCCAACGAAACGAATTTATTTTTCATTTATTAAAAAAAACTAATGAAATTATTCGTATTTTTAGGAACTTAATATTTTCAATAATATTTAAATTTTGTCAACAATAATTTTTTATATCTTCTTAGACATAAAATTTTTTTTGTTGCTATATAATAAAAAAAATTTTTAAGATTTTTTATGTTGTAATTTTCTATTTAAAAATTATTACCACATAGGTTTAATCCTTAACCTCTAACCTAAGACTTTCGCTCTTCCGGTCACTATGCAATAATTATGTTTATATTTATCAATTTTAAACTATTATTTTTTTTATTTGAACAGATATTAGGACTTCGTCGACCATTTATATTATTTCGAAAAAAAAATCATTATCAACTTCATAAATCCTCCTTAAAATTGTTTTGTTTGATTTGACAAAAGTAATTATGTAATCACAAATTTTTTATAATGATAATAAAGCAAAAAGTATTTCGCTCTTACATAAAGAAACTATTTTTGTATAATTAACTACTACTTAAACATTTTAATACATATATATGTCGGAGACGGTCATCAATACGGTCGCTAAACGAAGCGCGGCACGACGCCTGAGTGATGGCAGCACCTTCGGTATTATCGCCAACACTCGGCGAGCTTCGTGCTACGACGGAGCCTAGCTAAGGGAGGGGTGCTAAGAGGGCTGGACACTTGCCTTCGAGCCGAGCCAAGCTTAGGACCGCTCCACTAGGAACTTGCGTTCCGTTTGGTCTATACTTGGTAATAGTGAAGTGGTATATGGCTGTGTAGTGAAGTGCTGTTTAACTATGTACAAAGTGATTATTGTTAATTTGAAATACAACTGTGATTGCATCGACTTTCATTTGAACCAACACTTCCCATATAACGCCCACTGTATAAGTCATGATAAAATAATGGAAAATAATAGAGAAAATTAATGCTGCTTCGATATCAGAAGCGGGATCAGTGTTGGTTCAATTGCAAAAAGAACTAACTCTGAGTGAACAATGACGTGCAATGTTTGAGCAACAAAATGTCAGTATGTGATCTCTTATCGAGGCCATGCAAATGCCTCGGATGAAGAAGAACGTCAGGTTACACGAGTTTGACCCTGACAATATGGATACGGACGCAAGATCTTTGTTTGCGACTGCAGATTTGTGTTTTGCCAAATACCCTCCATACGGCGGCCAGCTTGGTGTAAGTCAGTAAGGAATTAAAACGATAAGGGTCGACGTGGCTATCACAATTTGTATACCAGGGAATAACATAGGAAGAGTACAAGGTGATTTTCAAGGCGAGGTTTGTTTCCACCGAGACATTGGCCGGTACGCTAATTAATTTTAACAGTGACAAACCAAATGAAAAAAGAAACTCGTTACGTACGCAAATCGCCTGATGACGTCACTGACTAATCGTTGGAAAGACGCTAGCAAGAATCAGATAGCAATTGCGACTATCCTTGCTCACTTATGTCAGTTTAATTCGAAATTACAACGATTGGCCTTTACTACGAAAATTGCTTCGCGAGATCGACTGCAGCAGAGATTGCACGCATTCTCACATTTGAAACGCAAAAAAAAGTGAGTCTTAAGCGGTCAGAGTGTAGAAGCAAGGTAAATGACAGTGTGGAACGACCTTCGATGACAGCAACGGCATTGCAGCCTGCAGTGAAGTCTCTGGTGTGCTTCAAATGTGGCAAACCTGGTCACATCACTCTCCGGTGCATAAGTAGTGCCAGTCAAGTGGACGGCAGCAATATGAGTGCAACACGAACGGAACGACGCGTGGATGTATGTGTTGTACAACCATCTTCGAATGCTCAATGGCATAGAGGTAATCTGTATTGCTTTTGTTATAATCATGGTGCTGAATATTCGTTAGTAAGATAACATTTAGCAGTCAAATTGTGTGGTTAACGATTTTGTCCTTGCAATTTCTAGTATTGATCAAAACAGAATATTCCGCACAGAGTAAAATTTGTTTTGTAACGATTAACGGTCATTCTATTGAATTCTTCTGAAATATTATGTTTTGCCTAATTATTCGTTACAAAATGGTATCATGATAGAACATGAGATATTGAAAGGTTTTCTATTAACATGACGGCTATAAATTCTTTACACAAAAATTCTAGTAGGTCATGTACCAATAAAGTTGATGTAAATAATGATCATCATGCCAAGCAAATGTTTTAATGAAGTCGATGGAAACCGATGTAAGCATTCTGACGGCCGTAGTAGTGTCGACCGTACTAGTAACTATTACGTAGTCATAGCCTGGTAAAAGTCGGTCTTTTGAGGAAGCTCAAACTATATAGACCGTGGGTGTGTGATGTGCGTTTAGTTCTGGCGGAGGTCGGGGTCTGTTATGACCATAGTGTGTAGTCATCAAGAGGATGATACACGCGGTGATCCCGTAGTGGATGCACCTGGATTGTGGAGCAATTGTGATTGCTGGTTGGCTTGTAAAGCCGTGGCCTAAGAGTGGTTTACAGAGGTGCTAGTAAATTTGAAAATAAGTTTTGATTGCTAAAGTGTTGAATGATGTTGGTACATGGCTCTGGATGACTAATGTTATTAGTTAGATTAGAGATAGTTACAGTGACTTGGAGTAAAAAAAAAAACAAAGGTGTTAGCGTTAAAGCTTTTCGTTAGAATAAAGATGATTCAGATTCAAAGTTAAGTTTTATCTGGTCAGGATTGACCGAGTCGAGCAAGTATTTTCGTTGATTATTTGGTTGCAGGCTAACACACTGCTAACACACGAGGGCGTGTGCACGCAGGATGGCCGTGTCGGAGACGGTCATCAATACGGTCGCTAAACGAAGCGCGGCACGACGCCTGAGTGATGGCAGCACCTTCGGTATTATCGCCAACACTCGGCGAGCTTCGTGCTACGACGGAGCCTAGCTAAGGGAGGGGTGCTAAGAGGGCTGGACACTTGCCTTCGAGCCGAGCCAAGCTTAGGACCGCTCCACTAGGAACTTGCGTTCCGTTTGGTCTATACTTGGTAATAGTGAAGTGGTATATGGCTGTGTAGTGAAGTGCTGTTTAACTATGTACAAAGTGATTATTGTTAATTTGAAATACAACTGTGATTGCATCGACTTTCATTTGAACCAACACTTCCCATATAACGCCCACTGTATAAGTCATGATAAAATAATGGAAAATAATAGAGAAAATTAATGCTGCTTCGATATATAAATGATTTAATAATATTTTTTTTCAATAGATCAACCAGTCTCTTGGGCGTTCCTGGCGCCATCTGTGAGCCCTTACCACAGTTCAACAGGGTCATCCAATCCGGGCCTAAGATTATACAAATTTGATTCGGACACTGGAAAGGTAACGTAATAAATAATTTGTTAATTTTTTTTTGTTATTTGTTATATTATACTATTAGAATCACCAGTCTCAATTTATGGTCTTTTTCCTATGGTTTGAGTGTTTTAGTCTGTCATCAATACAAAATCTAACCATTGTTATAAAAAAAATTGAACTAGCACAGAAATAAAATTTAACAGCCACATGTTATTGTAACAATAAACGAGGCAACGAGTTTAGATGAATACGACAGTTCATTGGGTCGTTTACTCACCGATATTTTCTCAATCTATTTAACACGTAGGAGTTATAATTAATCTTTATAAGATGTCCATGTTCTGAACATATTTTATATATTTTAATATTTTTTTATGTCTCGATGCCATTAATTTATGTTTTGCTAAGCTATTTTGTGGTTGTGACTATACAAATAGTAGGTTTTTAGGATTATCTTCTAGTTGCTAACTAGGTTCTTTAAATGTATATCATCAAGGTCGGGTTTAGGTCTCAACAATTTGCTTAGTTCTTAATAAAAGTAACTTCGTAAATGCAATGATCGGTTGAAGATTTTTTAGTAGTAAGTTTAAGAATCTTCCTAACTGATTCCTTTTCTTCTGACATTTACATATTTTGCTTTGTTATCCTCAAAGTATTTTTTTAAATTACATTGCTTCAAACTTTTTTCAAATACTGCATAATAAATTAAACAAATACTCATTCTAATGTTTTATCGTATCTTACGCCTTGTTATTATCAATGAATGTTAGATATGGTGATTTGTTATACTATCTGTATGTAATCAATAATGGAGTAATTCATCTAAAATTAACCTATTCTCTGAATTTATATTCACAAAGCTACTTAGTTGTCCAAATAGCTTTTGACTTATTGCTATATATATTTTGTTTTTATTGCGTAAAATGAAAATATGAGAAGCAGATGCTGGTGCATATCATTTAATGAGGTTTCTACTTTTGAACTACTTTAACAAGTTTAAATTAAAAGAGAAAAAATAAGAGTTGGTTATGCTCAGGTTTATTCATGTTCATTTGAAAGCCTTCCAATGCAAACTACTCCGTACCACACAATGATTTCAAAATTTTAGTTATAGATTTCGACACTATCTGTGCATGGTTTTTATTTTGCAACTATAAAATTAATATTTTTATTTTATTTTTATAAAATTAACATACTCATATAATATTTACCTTTATACTTTTCTTGTTTTTGTCCAATATCCCAAAAGAATAACTAATGTCAATTTGCCTTTAGCATAATTAACTTCCTAAATATCTTATCGATATTTCAATTATCAAAATTAAAATCATAAAAAAATCGAAAAAAATAATCCGAAACAATTGTTTTTTTTAATAACATTTATTTGATGTTTTTTTTTGATTGCAAGATTTGTTTCGTAACATCCATGTTGCTTTTTCTTTTATTGTTATTAGTGATTTTTAGTATTAGTGATCTTTCATACTCTTGTGTGATGTGATTCATCGCAATTTAAAGTTTTAAGGTCTTTATATAAAAATCAGAAAATTCGACATATTGAGTCAATTTGGCTGAATAGATATTATTTTTCCAAATACAAATTTGTTACGCTGTACAATAAGTCAACAAAGTCAAAAAATATTACAAAAATATTGTGAGCTAAAAAAAGTTCCATAATAATAAGTTTAAAAAAATGTTATAACAGTTTATATTTCGCGCACGCTATTTCTCAAATAGCAATGTTTTATAAGATTGCGAATAGATATACCATCAAAAGATATTCTATCAAAATTGCTTTGCGTCAAGCCCATAATAAAATAAAGTGGTCGGTATATGGCGAATCGATAACAAATCAAAGAGCTATGTTGGTACGAGAAATGGGATCTATATATAAAATACACAACGCAAAATCGCCTTCGTTCATTCGTCATTTTATTAAAAAAATCTGTACTATAATTATAAAAAAATTAATGAATAGGTAAACTACTTAATTTTTTTTTAATAAGAAATAATGATTTCGTAATTCCCCTATACAAAGCTAGGGCGCTTTCGCTAGTATACTTTATAATAAATTGCTACGTACATTCAAACGTAGCATTGCATTGCTACGTTTGAATGTATTACGAAAATAATCCTGAAATAACCAACCTCTAGAGTAAAGTTTTGTTTTAAAATTTATTGATTTCCTGCACTGTTTCTTGCTTATCTATAATTATAACCCATTGACCGAGATTAGAATGTATCTTTAATAATGACTTGAACCTAATAAATAACAATGTAAATTCGTTGCTTTAAAGTCATTTTAAATGTCTTTTTTTCTACATTTACCTACTACAACAAATCGTTATTCATCTGAGAATTATTGATATAATCGGTCTAGTGATGTCTGAAATTTGCCGAAAAATAGACAGAAAACAAACAAAATAAATTCCATGGCCCTTTAAGGAAATATAGCTTTTATTTAAAAAAAACAATCAGATGCTGCAATTTGCTGGCTTACAAGTCTAAATTTTACGTGTTTTATCTAAATCAGACTTAAGGACTGCATTTACATTACCTACTTAAGAAACGTTATATGTAAAAATTGCATCTGTAACCTCCATATCATGTGTTGGGACAAGTTAAACAAAACATATCATTCTTTATGTACTAGCAGCTTGCCCTGACTTCGTTTTGGTCTTTACTTCGCTAAATGAATTAAAAGCCTTTTTCTTTTGTACTTTATCCCCGGCAACTTTTCTTGTTTCCTAGAAAAAGTAACTATATATTTAGTTACTTTTCGCCTTTATTTCACCGGATTAGTCACTGGAATGTAAGATGCATAATCCAGTAGTGATTAATCAGAGCAATATTCATCAGCAAAATTTTTCCATGGTTATTTGGGCTTTCGTTACGTCCAAATAACAAAAAAAGTTTTGAGCTCAATTGTGAGACTCTCATTGCTTATTTGGCAGGTACTAGATTATACACAGTTTTACTTGGACCTGACTTTGGCTAACCGAGCGGCTGCGGGAGCGGGTGCGGGGACGGTAGCTGGCTCCGGGGCGGAATGGACGGCGGAGTATAACTTGACGCAATATTACGTGTTGCGAGATGTTTCTGCTGAATCACTACATCATTTAGCTGATAAGCTTCAGGATACAGCGATGTTTAATAAGTAAGTAAAAATTTATTTACATATCTATTTCTTGGTAATATACATATACATATAATATATACTATAATACATACATATAATATTTTTGATTTTCATATTACATTTGTCTAAAACTTGAATTCGATTTACATGACTGTAGTTATATATGAAATAATAAATTAAAAGAAAAATTACTTACTTTCTTAACTAATATTGTAAGTATATATTTAATTTAAACACTTTCCTATAGGTACTTACGAGCATACAATGTAAAGCTCGACACACCTGACAACTGCGACGGCGCGTGCGCACACCAACATTTCTGCGCGATCACGTGTCTCGAACATCGCGCATACACTCAATGCGTAGAGGCAGCGGCGAGCGCGTTAGCTGCATCTCGCTCCATTCAAACTGCTCCGCTCGCTAATATAGTGCTAGCCATTTTATGTGCCGCTACGCTTTTTCTTGGTTAGTGGGTAAAGTGTAATTGACGATTATGATGAGAATTTGCAACTCTGAATTCGTTTTTTGATTGTAGTGGTCATATAGAAAAGTTAACTGGTATTCTTGTGAGGATATTGATTCTGTTCAGGCAAATGTTTTTGGACATAATTAATGTTTATGGTTTTAGACTAGCGAGTAGCGAGGCACCGAAAGTGTATGTTGGTTCTTTAAAAATCAAAAGCAGACTGTCAATCTACTAAGCATCTGATAGCTTTAGAGGTCTTTTAAATAGATGCTAAAGATATAAGTTATCGTTTTACCCAACGAATATTGATGCTAATTTAGTTGATAATGAATTTTGATGGACAATTAAGCGTAATAGACACAAAGGAATTTAGTCTCGCTAATCTAATCGAGTATGCTACTGTTTTAAAACCCTTCATAAGAATGTCTTCCGGGAAAGCTATTGAAATCTGATCCATATTTATTTAAAAAAACGAATTTCCAGAACTACGAGTACGAATTCTGATTATAACGTTACGTGAATTTTATTGGATTTTGTACGTGATAAAAGGCGTAATATTGGTGGTTGGTTATGCTCAGGCTATTTGTGATACGAGACGATTATGGTTACTGTTAAACGATTCGTTGCAAGTGGTTGCGTTTATTTTTGTTTCGTTTACTATGTATTAGTATATAGTAGTTTTAGGTAGATTAAAATGTGTCAAATTTTATTCGAACATCATTTCCGTATCTAACTTTGATGTTAGATTAGCTTTCTTTAGTTGACAGCTTTACTTACGGTATGTAGCGTAAACACTAAACATACCATTCGTAGATTAGGTAATTAAATTTTTTATACTGCAGTATTCGGCGTAAACGTCATTTGTTTAAGAAATCCTAGTTTTGTGTAAATATTGTATTAGTATAGCCTATAGGATACAATTTGTTTATTGCTAATTATTTAATGTTTAAGATTTTTTACTGTTATAATGTTGTTAAGCTGTGCCTATATTTTGCGTGATTTTTTTTTTTGAATTTTTCTCATCGAACATTTAATTGGTACTATAACTTAGAAAATGATAAATAACTTTGGTCCTAATATTACGTGGCATTAAAAAATTGTTTAAGACCATAAGGGAACTAATCAATACATGTATATTTTTGGTAAGACTTAAAAAAAATGCTAACCACAATTTCTAACGTAAACAATTTAAGGCAGTCAAAATACAAAGTTTTCGATTAAAATTATTGTAATGCCATCATTATAACGTTTTATAGTTGCCTTAAATCGTATATTTTGTAAATGCTCAAAGGCACGATGTTATTTATAATATTTCGAATTGTACATATAATAGTTATTTAGATCTCAACTTTATAAAGGAGGAGCAATTAGATGGTAAGGTTAGTGTAAGACGTAAGCTTATATTGATTTCTTTGCGGTGACCAATAATTTGTGTAGATCATGAAAAATTTAGTAAAATAAAAAAATGCATTTTATTGTTTTAGGTATATAGCTTTGGTGTAAAAATATTATATGTGTCCTCTCAACTGTTTCCCTCTTGAAAGTTTTCTTAATAACCATATTTTTTTTGAGTAAACATTTTGTGTTAAATATTATATATCTCATTTTACTTTGCCCTTTTTAGTTATTACTTGTTCACCTTTACATTGTAACTAAATATATATATATATATATATATATATATATATATATATATATATATTTATATATATAGCGTCAAAAGTAAATAGATCTTTAACTTATCCTTTCCATTGATAAGTAAAGTTAGATAAGTACCTATGAATGAAACAAAGACATGCAATATATAAAATCGACTCATTGATATTTAATTTAAGCCCCTGTTTTTGTTAATCTCCTTTATATGTTAAATATAATAAGAAAAACATGTATAAGTTTTTGCGAATTAACAAAAAATTATATAACAATTACTTAACTGACTCTGTTCTGCCAAAATAATATGGTTAGCTCATTTTCAATTAAAATACTTTTATTTATTACGATCTTAAAGTCGACAAGCTTTTCTATGATCTTACCGCATACATAGTGACATGAACGCTAATTCGTTCACACATAGTGGCTTATACACTCCGAATCTTTTAATATAGATATACTACTTACTCACCATCGCTTCGCTCGGGTTCGTCCCTAGCTTTTTTACATTATCAGCCGTTGTGGCAGAAAAACAGTCGCGTGAACTTTTTACTCTTATATTTTATTATCATCGAAGTTGCAGATTTTTGAGTTTTAAATTTAGAAAGTGTGAGTTGAAAAAACATACACGCAAACGAAGCAAGCTAAATAGTATGTATAAATATTAGATATAAACTTAGACTGAACACAGTACTTATATGTAATATTGTATTTACCACTGTATATTCGGTAAGACGTGTAGAGAAAAATCATGGATTTAGAAAAAACGACCATTATGCACTTAAATCATACTTCAAAACTCATAAATATTAAATAGTATGTTGGAAATCGCAGATCTTAGTTGTGAAACCTATATATGTATATATATATATATATATATATATATATATATATATGTATATACATATATAGATAACATTATATATATATATATATATATTCTCTAAATTATACTATTAAATATCTTGATTGGTTATATTGGCATAACAGCGTCCACTTAAGTCATAATGAAATATCAAATAACTTATTAATGTAAATATTCCGTTTGATCATAGCTTAAAATGTAAAACGTGTTTTTTTTACAATGAATGTAACTGTATATTAAATTGAATGTTTTAAATTAATTTTAATAAAGAATCGAAATCGTTTTGTGTGTTTCAATGGGTTTTTTTAAACTTGCCCTTCTAAGTATTAAAGTGGAAATAATTAAAATGTTTTAATGAAACTTATTTTTTTTTATTTATTCATTCTTTATTGCACGCGCAAGACTGGTGAGAAGATTTAATAAGACAGAAACGACAGGGTGCTATTAAATTGAATAAATTAATATTATAAAGAGACAGTGTTTGTTTGTTTGTACGCGCTAATCTTAAGAACTACTAATCCCATTTAAAATTCTTTTTACATAGGATACCCCGTTTATTGAGGAAGGCTATAGGCTATTTTTATTATAACATTATTTATATTCTATCTATTCCTTACTAACTGTTAAAACGTAAAATACAAAAATTGCGCTAAACTCATCGCAATTATTGTATTTAATAGTTCATGCTCTAACAAAATCGATTTTTAAGTTTTTTTTTTCATGTCGCCAATAAGAAATCCTATACAATCAACATTTATATTATAAGATTACATCACAAATTTCTATTTAATCATTAAGGCTAATGCTAATAGATTAGTATTATAACGTCAAGCCGCAGTTAATTCTGTGGGTACGTGAAATAATGAACGTGACACATTCGAATCCCACGGGATTTACTCTGAAATGAAACAAAGTGACAATTTTGTAAAGTTATTTACTCCATTGTGATTACGTTTTCTGTTCCTTGTATTTGTGAATTGTTATTGATAAGATAGAAATGTTAACATGCGTCGTCATTTTCGTCAGCTTAAATAAATGTTAAATTGTACTATTATTTTTAGCTAAAATTTATTTATTAAAATAAATATATTATTAATAATTTTAATATTTAAATAAACATATATTAAATAAAAATAGGCAATCTTTCAATTGTTAATAGCTCTTCTATCTAGCTTCTATCCCTTGCAGGTCGAGAAATCAAAAGGGGGCACGGCAGTGCCCCCGCCAAGTCGAGCAAAAGGGCACGGCAGTTCTTTTTGTCGTTAAAGAATATTAACGTAATTAGTACTTTAGAGATTGCTAGATTAATCTTGAAGCTGACAAATTTTTAACAAAATCTTTGTGAAATTGCTATAAAATGATAAGCTATAAATTACAGTCTGTAAGTAAGGCTAAAATACTTATAAATAAAGTAACTAGACACGAAATATTTCAGCGGATTTTCTTTTTATATACACATTTATGAATGTGAATACATTATAGATAATATAATATAATTCTGAGTAGAATCTGTACATTAAATATTTTTTGTAAAATCTTATTGAAATAGTTCTTAGAATTTTTGTCTGTCTGGGAACGCATCACGAGAAACCCACAGTACGGATTCTAACAAAATTCGGTATGATGACAACTGATTATCCGGGTCAACAATCTCTGAGAAATCTATACTAAATATTAAAACGTAGGAATAAACCCGAGCGGGGCAAGGTGAGTCGCTAGTAAATATAATAAAACACTACTTAAAAGTCTTAAAAAATTATACTAGTTTTCGCCAAGTGGTTGAAATTCGACAATAATCATTATTGAAAAGAGGAAAACATATATGAATAGAATTTACCTATCTATATAAAACTAAAAATCATCAATAGCTACTAAGCAAAAAAAAAAGAAAATCGATTCACAAACAGAGGAGAAAAAGGTACTGAACGGTCTTGTCTTTGCCTATTTATATTAGATTTGTAAATGTCGAATAGAAATTTTTGAACATTATTAAAACTTTAATGAGGCTTAGTTATATTCATTTTAGGTTTCCGTAATAATAATCTTTACGATAGAGTTTGATTACGGACTATAGAAAGCTTGTAACGTTTATTGTATCTGGAGTAATATTTCTCGCAATAACCGTAACAACTAAAACTTTATTAGAGCTTATATTGTGTTATTAAGTGTTTCAGTATATAATGCTGTAATAAAAATGAACACTTCTGTTAAGTTACTGATAGTAAAATGAACAGTCCGCTATCTACTACTAAATGAGATAAGAGAAGCTATATAAAATTTAATACCTAAAAAAAACTCGCGACTGCGTGAAAGGTGAATTAAACAGATAGGAAGAAGCTGACGAAGGGAAATAGTATTATGCAGTCGGGGACATACATGTTTTATCTTTGCTGCCAGTTTTGCTATGTGTATGTATATACCACTATAATGTAAATACCTACTACATACATACAGGTACAACACATAACCCTCTTTTAAAAATAATA